CTTTACCATTCTCTCCTTTTTTACCATTCTCTTGTGCTTTCCGCATTTATACTTAAAAACTTTATTTTTTGCAAAATATACTGAAAACTTGTACTAGTAGGTTATCACTCGGTGTGGTTTCTAATAATCAGTGGTTGTATTAATCCTGAACATGTTCTAGTTACAAAGGCATTGGAAAAAAAATGATAAATGCAGATGGCATACTGAAGATGGAATCAATCTCTCGGTCATGGACATGCAGAGATCATACTTTCATTCACCAAGAGAAACCCAGCAAGAGCAACTGTCATATACTCATATCCAAAAATGCTAGACATACAAAGATTTACAAGCTTTTACAAGCTCTTTTCATCTAACAACCAATTACAAACCTCTCCCTCCCACCTGATTTTCAGGAGGGTGGGCCATCCCCCTCACTTGTTGACCAATAAAAACTAACCCACCTATAAAAGCCAAACGTGTAGCATTGCCGACTCATATCTCCCATACAGCAACAAACAAATTTATTTTGTTTTGTTTTAGGGTTTCCAGGCATCTGATTCTGCACTGCGCAGTGCCGCAGTCCGTGGAAACGACTGAATCTCCCTCGCAAAAAGGAAAAGAAAGAAATAAACAAACGACTGACTCTACCCTCAGAATCAAGAGCCCGGCCCAGTCTGTACAGTCCCTGCAGAATTGCGGCCAAGTCGGAAGAAGTTAGTGGTGGTTTACTGTTTTTTAAAACTTTTGACATTTACTCTTAAGTTGACAAAAACCCACGCCGGACGAGGTTTCAATCCAAATTACGTGGGCTTGGAAACTTTCCTTCTCTTCTTCAAGCAAAAGGCTGAAAGTTACTACTTTGTCTGTACTATCGCGCAAGTATTACCTGGGTGATTTTCTACATATATGTATGTACTTATAGGGAATGCCCGGTCTTTCCAGAGAACTTGTACACCCCCTTTGTTTATTTATAGTATCAAGAAAACAAGTGCTGTTATGGAGGACAGAAAATGCAGCAGATCTTCAAGCAAGAAAAAAGACGTGCAAGACGGCAAAGAGTTTACTCCAAAACTCTGCTGCTGGCAAAGGCCAAGCAGAGAGAGACCTTATCAGCAAAACAGCAGAAACCCCATAAAAGCGCCACTTGTCTGCATACTATCCTTACTATAGTGTCAAGTCTGCTCCAGGGAGTAGGTGACAGGTTTATGACAACCGATGAGAGAATGTATGTATAAATCTTCACTCATAATATTCAATCATGAAGCATGTATGCATCCCAATCCCAATCCCAATCAAACCTTTCTAGTATTTTGTTTTGGGCCTGAGCAAGCAAGCTCAGGAAGAGTCAGGTAGCAGTTGGCCGGAAGAATCGGCTCAAAACACTACTTTAAAAGCCTCCCTTGGGAATGAAATGAATTATAGCCTTGAGGACAACCCTATGCCAGGCCGGCAAGCAATGAGAGAGAGAGAGAGAGAGAGAGAGAGAGAGAGAGACTGACGACATGTGCATACTCGCATACAAAATTCAAGTCTGCACCAAGAGAATTCTTCCAGACAGGTATCCTCCAACTAATTCCGTACCCACATCACACCCGAGCGAGCCTCATCAGCGTTATTCCAACCAGCTTCCATGTCTTCAGGGAAGAGATTTCCCCCCAAGTCATGACGCCGCTGCCTGGAGCTTCTCTGACAAGGAACCGCTCATGGAATTTCTTTTCTACCGTTTCATTATCGCTGTCAGGGCGACGTGTAGGGGGCTCTCCTTTGGTGCCACCAAACGGCGCTGCTGACGGAACAGAGAATGGCGACCCCTGAAAACGGAGCCCTGCTTGCTGGGGAAAAGGCGCGCGCAGACTTGCAAGAATGACTCGTTCTCCTGTTGAATGGGCAACTCCTCCATTTCCACCTCCTGCCCAATTTCGGTCTGTGCCTGCAGTCAGATTACGAAAAGCACAGTTTACAAAACAAAATCCGAAAATATACAGGCATACGGAAATGACTTTTACCCAATATGGTTGATGCCTATTGATCTTGATCCGGTTACTTGATCTTGATCCGGTTACTAACATCTGATGTGGGTGCACTAGAAAAGGGAAACAGCGCAATGTGCACTAATAGAAGAATCGACAAAGCATGTGAGTGGGACAAAAGGCACATTGCAATACAAGTCAATGTTATATTTCCATATATTACTAGTTGCCCGGAACAATTTGATGGTTCAGCTACCAAAGGTAGGAATACAGGCTGAAAAACCAACCACTTAACAAGACAATTATGAACCTTTTTGCCCATGTTGGTCCTAGCAACATTGTCAAATACCGCCATACCATAGACAAAAAGAAGTTGAAATTTCCAGGATACCAGCCTGGCTAAAATTACCTTCTGTTCATGATGTCCAGCTACTGAGTCATCATTAGGCTGAGTGGAAGTATGTTCGTCCTGACTGTTCAGATCTTTATACTCCTCTTCCTTATCCTCGGAATACTGTCTGGAGACCTCATCTTCATAGTCAGGAGATGGATTATTGAGGGATTTTCCAGGATCTTCCATCTGAGTCTGCGCATCATCTGCTTCCATTGTTGTTTTAAACACATCAATATGGCGTGGTTGCTCCTTACTAGAGGCTGTGTCATGACTACCAGGATTATTATCACCGAAGTTTACCTAGCGTGCAAAAGCTCAAGTTAGTTCAAGCATTCAAGGTGAAGACGATCCACATAGCAGGTGATACAGATTTACATCTGAGAATAAGCAAGCCAAGTGTCTATGAAGTAAAAGCACACCTTCCACTACGACAACTGAATGAATGATGAGAAAAACTTATGACTACAGTTATGGAGTTACTTAAACGACACCAGGAACATTTGTGTCCCCGATATGGTGAAGAGTTCTTTAGTGTGTACAAACACACAAACACAGATAACAGAAGCATGTCAATTCTACTGAGCATGGTGTGGTATTACTCAAATATAAAAGGAAGCAACTAGATTAACAGATCCGGTGTACATTACACAACACAACAGCCTCACCTCAAAAGGTAATAGATGAAAAATTCATATATATGCATACAAACACAAGGAATGCATGACACTGAAACCAACGATTTAGATGTTGATTCTAACCTCCATGTTGCGCTCTTCAGAAATGTTCACTACAGTGACTTCATTATCAACAGATAAAATTTCATCCCTTTCCTTCTTACGCCGTGTAACTTGACAAACAGCACATGCACAATCATTTTTGTGTCGATCATTCCTGTATTCAAACACACATAAGAATATAGAATAATATCTCCTGCAGTAGCATAGAGAGCCAAAAATTCAGCAGCTGGACATATTGGGATAATGTGCTTTCTGTTTGTTAGGAAGTCCACGTGGTCTGCCGTCCTGTTAAATAGTATTAATCTAACAAAATTAATCAAGGAAAAATATGTGAGCCTGACATAAACCCACCATGCCTATGTGTTATATCCAGTCTCACGAACATGACACGGTTAGATAAGCTACCATGAATAACCAAGGAACATATGTCCATTGGTGGTAATTCATCACTTAGCTAACTATTTGAGGGAACAACGATGCAATGCCCCTCAACTAAAATGTTGCAACACAAACAGAATAGCCACATAGGTTAAAAAAAAAGTTGCAACACAAACATGGCCACATAGGTCAGGAAAGTATTACCTGCTCGGTTACTCCATTCCAAAATACAAACAGAATAGCATAATAGCCCCTACACAATTGTAAGAACTTAAAAGGAAGTATGCATATCTCTGTTATGATCCTAAACAAATTTACACTTATGTTTTAATCCTGAAATAAGCTAATAATAATAATAATAATAAAAGTCAGTATCGCCAGTAGATAAAAGTCGAGAGAATTCCTTATTTGACCCTTTCTTAAAATTTGCTTCCCTATTTGGCCCTACACAAAATGTTCTTCCCTTTTTGACACTATTTACAATTTTTTCCCTATACTACATTTCCGTCAAATCTGGTACAATTCCGTCTATTTGGCCTGTCAGTATTTTCTTCCATGGACCAATCTGCCCCTGTACGCTAAACACCAGAGAGGAAAAAAGGGGAAGAGATGGATCACGAT